CTTTTCGCTTAGCCAACTATAAAGCAGTGGTTCCAAATGTGGAAGGAACACCCACCAGGGGGCGCTCTGTGGGATTGCAGGAGAGAATGATATGAACTGAATTAATAACAGATTTTGAAACGGATAGTTTAAAGTCGTAGGGAAATCATATTTAAATGTCAAATCATTCTGCCTTAAACATGTATGTTAATGTACTCTTTATCAGATCATATTGTCCCAAAAGTTAGAAACTTTCTATAAAAAAAAAAATCAGGTCTTGAAATCAGTGTTTTCTTTTCTCGTTATCTTATGCAGGCCAGTTAGTTATACGTCAGCTTGTTCAGCTAAATTCGGCCAATCATATATAAACGGTCATCTGTCAATCAAATTTTTTGGTCATGGCATCTTGATTCATATGTCGCAGCTAATACTAATCTAGTATCTGATCAATGCACCACTGAACCTTCTGCCTGCTTCTATGTTAAGACAGATTATAGATCTATTTTAGAACAAGGTCTGGCTGTTTTCACTCAGTTTATCACTGTATAAAGCCAGAAATGTGATTTAGTTTTTAAGTGGTTATCATGGTAGAGGACAGTGGATCAGGCAGGGATGGTCTGTCGGACATGGAGATCATTCCTCAGTTGATTAGCTCACAGCTTTTGGGGAATTTTCTGGCTTTCAGACTCCATAAATGTTGGTATTTTTCATAAATACAACCAAAGAAATGGGAAGAGTCCTGTTTGTGTTGGCTGAAGCTGCATGTTTGTGTCCCACTGCCTCCTGGGTTCCAGCCAATGAGACGCTTGGATTAGAACCAACAGAAACCATGATGAGCCCTCGCTGTTTTGCTCTATTAAACAGTCTGCATACAAAAAGAAAGTGAAATATCAAACGATGATGATGCTAAGCTGTCAGTGTAATGGGATGTTTGGTTTTCTTTTCCCATTTCTCCTAAAAAGGCCCGATCTTTACCAATCTCTGGGTTCCTTATCACCCTCCCTCATCTCTCAGGGCTGACTTCCCTGGAAGCAACCAAGCTTTCCCAGAACAAACATGAGAAACTTTGACCAACATTTCTTGGTTAGCGGAGTTAAAACCAAGCTGAGGACTTAAGAGGGCAAATAATAAAGAATGTGTGGAGAACTTTTACGATGACAAACAGGAAGCAGATCTCATCAGTCCAAACAAGCTGCTCAAATACATTATTATGTATCTGAGACACCCAGAGCTTACAGGTTTAGATTTAGTCCCAGCTGGTTAGAATCATGTTATTCTAGAACTGGAAATGGTGAAAGGCATATATATATATATACATATATACATACATATATATATGTATATATATATATATGTATATATATATATATATA